GTTCTCTTCTTCGAACCTGTCTCTTAGAATTGTTCGAATCACGCTAATAGTTTGTACTAAGTCTTCAATATCATGCATTAATGCATGATAGAGTAGTAGGATTGAGTTATTGAATGAATAAACAGTTGAGAGTCGCCCAATGTTTTTGATTTTTTTAATAATCCATAACCTGCGCGGTTTTGCGTCAGTGTTGTCAGCAGCAGCGAAATGTGTTAATGCTGACCGGTTTGACACATTTCGAAGTTTCTAAAGCAAGTGCTGCGAAACTCGTTCTTCTTGACAGCGTTTCGAACCGTTCACTTTCACATCACAGAAACGCATTAAATCAGTCAGCTTTAACGCGTCTCGCGGCAATGGGAAAACGCACTTTTAAAATGCGTTTTTTTTCAAAGAAATTGCGCACCATAGGAAGTGTATTACACACTTGTCATAAAAATGAATCGTACATCTTGTCTCTTTCATTTGTTTTATCCGCCTAGCTTTTGTTGAGTATCAACTTATAACACTAATATATCTGTTATTTCTCTGACTGTTCCAGAAACTAACACATATGAATAGTGATATACAGATGAGAGAGTAACAAATCTGTTATAGATATTGCTGAGTGCATGAAACGGAATTTACTGTGAAGTCGATCTTGCTATGTTTTTTGCTTCATCTGATGGCTCATCCTATAATTAGTTTGATGTTATATAAAGGTTAAGAGTGAATGAGAGTACATTTGCTTTAGAAGTTGAGACTTACCAGATATGGAAAAGTAGGAGAGCGGTTGAATCTATGAATGAACATATTTTGAAATTGTTTTCCTATGAGAGAGTTCAGGCGTATGTGAAAATGTGTATGGATATGTAGGGTAAAGAGATGCCAGGATGTGATGTAGAGTCGTCAATGGTAGTACTATTGCCTCACAGGTATCATTACCGATCTAAACTAGTGCGAAGTGACAGAAAAATTAGTAGACTAGCATGAGTCATTCTGCAGTTTCGAATTCAAATTACTGTGAAAACAAAAAACTCGATTAGTAATTGATGTGTATTGATCATCACAAAGATCATACAATAATTCTGGTATGTTTGTTTAGGATTTTAATTATCCATTTCAATGAGCCTTTTCTTTGTGAACATCAATTTGTAAGTACAAAAATTCATGTTGCTGCAAATTCTATAAGCTTTTTGGTTTCATTCACACTAGAAAAGAAGGGCCGTATAATGGATCTTACAAGATGACTTACGAGCCTTCAAAGTCTTACCAGAGACTGCAGCGAATAAGAAAACTTCCCTTCCAACTTGAATCCATCCGGTCTACTTTTTCAATTTTTCCGCTGCATTCAATTCAATGAGATTCGATTGCCATTATTAGAGAGAAATTTTTTTTCGCGCATGTTAGTTGTTGCTGACTTTGTGATGTTCTTTTCTGAATCAGCAACCTATTCTTCTTTTTTCCAGTTATAGTCGCCTTTTCTTTATTTGATACATTAATGCATATTTATAGGTTGTTGTCTTTTAAAATAAAATTGCAATAGAAACAATATTTCATAGATAAACATTTTCATAAAAGTTCCATATTAATGGATGCGAGAACAAGGATATAATTAACATTTGGACGCCATGAACTTTATGACCTGTGAACACCTTTTGAATTTTGACGAGCGAAAAATGATCTCTACAAAGATTAGGCAGAACACTTAATAATACAAGGAGATAAGTGCTTGTTTCAGTGATATTTTCTTTTTGAAGGAGATTACCTACATAGGTACTAAGGAAACAGCGACCAGGGATCAAGTGGCAATCTTGAGTTTATTATTAAGGAACTTTTCTTGTCTGATATACATATAACTTTTAAAATGCAGATATCTTTTTATTATAAAACTCATCATAGCAAAATATTACAATGAGATTGTAAATATACAATTATCGAAAGCGTTTGCTGTTATCATGTTCAACTGTAACTCAATGGATATTCAAATAGAACTCTGAGCACGGTCGTTTACTAAAAAACTTGGATATGATAATTCATTTTGTGTCGATCTTTTACTAGCAGATGATCTCTATTTTGTTTATATTTATTATAGTATGAGAGAATATATTTCACCTTCTTCTGTGTTTGATCATAAATTTTTTCAATGCATTCTCAAGCCAGAGAAAAACAGACTAAAGTGGTCTGGATTCGATTGGATGCAACTCAGTTTCTATCTCTGAGCTATATGTCAAGTTTCCGTAAAACGTTAAAGGATTTATGAAAATTTGATGAAGGGCATATGATTCTAATAAATGCTAGCACAGTCTCTATTATTCTACACTTTCTTAGATTATATACTACAATTGATACATTTGTGTATGAAGGCCACATCCAACAAGATGCTCGTGATTTTTTTTCTTCAATTGCTGATTATGATCAATCCGCTAGTATCTGCAGGAGATTTTAGTCCCGATACCAATGATTACGATGCTTACGGATTGAAGATAGCTGCCAACAATCTTGTTTTAGTCGAGTCACAGCCCGATGCTAATGAGTTCCTCGTACTATTCGCACCCTATGATAATATTACTACTGGTCAACAATGTTTCATTGCCTATGAAGATGACAATGATTATGTTTATTCGGTAGGAGTTGGTTTTCAATCAAGTGATAGCAATTTTTACGCTATCGGCCAATTCTCTACGGCGAGCGGTGACGATACTGATTCGACTGGAGGCAATGCCACATTTATTGCATATTATAATGCTACAAATGATCAACAATGCGGTCAAATTAGCCGTACCATAATTCGTCATGTTCTTTTGTCTCCAGAAGATTTTCTCGTTATGGTCGTTCATCCGGCTGGACAGTTTGCTCTTGGACTGGCAATGAGTTTTGTATTTACATTTAATCCCTTCAGTTCCTTGGTGATCAGTACGAATACTTCGTTTTGGCCAAACAGTTCCTTTGCCCCGAGGGCAGCTGACATGGACGTTAATTTCACTGTTGTAGCGGGTTTAGTTTCCAATTCGGCTTCTTCTCGTGTACGTGCTAGCGTTGTTGTCTATCTAATTGATAACAGTTTGAGTACTGTCTACTCTACTTGGAGCTATATACCAGCGAATAATAGTTGGCAAAGTCGATTAACTTTTTCGGGGGCCAACAGCTGGTCTGTCAAGTATACCATGTCCGTTGATATCAACAACTTCGATCCAACCCGCGTACTGGTCGGCGTTCCTTATCTCAATACTGTCTTTCATTTTACCGTAAGTGGCGGTGGAAGAATACTAACATTGTCCGACCAAAGAAGTAATGGAAACAGTGTTGGCTTTGGCAAGGGCGTTGCTTGGCTTGCATCTAATCAAGCCGCCATTCTTGCCAACCAATATACATCAACATTTTCTAGTTGGTTATCTTCACAGATATGGCTCTATACGCAGTTACCGACAACAGGTCTTGCTTCAGCAGCAACAGCCATCATACCCAACTGTCAACAGCCTATACCTTCCAATATTAATAGTGAACTTCTTAATATAAAATCTACTCCAACTGCATTGACTGTCTTAGATGTATTTGGTGGAATTCTTTTTATTATAGCTACTGCTCCTGGCTATTACGCTTCAACGGATACAAGTCTTGCACTCGTGTCTATTGCAATACCAATCATCAGTACAACACAAAACTGTTCCGCAGGAATGATGAAGAGTGACACAGGAGTTCATCCATGTAGTCTTTGTCCTATGGGCTGGAAAAGTAGTGTAGGTAGCATAAATTGTACAGTTTGTAATGCATCAGCATTTTGTCCGCTTGGTGCTGTGGATGAAGTGTCCCAAAGTGAGCTGCAAACGATCTCGCAAGCGTATGCATATCCGCAAAACCCAGAAAAAACAGAAGTCGAGGGTATTCTCGTATCAAATGTGTTTCAAATTGGCTCGAGTAGCAATTGTGTTCTTGTGTCACCTTTATTTTGGACTCTCATCGTCCTCATCCCAATGGTGACAATTTTTATCATTATCTTTATATGCCAGATCAGCAATGGAAAAGTAAAGGGCTCTGAACATGTCAAAACTGTTAAAAAAATTTTCAAACAAACCGATTTTATAGTAAGTCATTGTGGTTTTTTCAAAGCTAAGCGATGAAAAACGTTTCCTAACACTGAATGATTTCAATATCATTCTTCATGGGAGAAATTACATTCGAAAAAGTCACATGAAATCGAGTCTTTCAGATAAACATCCTTCATAAGAAAAGCATAGAAGGCCTCGGGTTTCGATCGTTAGAAAATGAGGAAATACTATAAATCAATTCTGAATTTGTCATATTCGTGTAGTGCTTAGCCAAAAGCAATCATGAAACCATTTAAAAATATTAAAAGTTATTTCTTGTTTTCAAAACGTCCAATTGTATCGGTTCTAAATTTGATTCTGGAACGATTTGGATGAAATCGATTCAATTATGGTATTTTTTCAAAACCATCTTTTATAGATATGCTGTTAACCACTTGAACAATGTTTCCATTCTAGGAGCAAGATAGGTGGCAACTAGTAGTTTGAACAAGAAAATCTTTGTCGATTTTTGTTCATCATCAGGTCATTCATTCCAAAATAGAATTAAAAATGGAAGCAATTTATTTGTAGGAGGACATTAAAATTACGTATTTAAACAGTAGAGAATGAATTTCAAGTAGTAAAACCTCTAAGAGAATTGAACCACTTAAAAGTATCTTATAGGTATTTCTAAATAGAAAATTTACCTTTTCTTAGTAAATGTAGTAGATTTTTCACATCACCGAGCTATGTACGAAGTCAGCGAAGAAACATACCGCGAATTATGAATTCGTCCATTCACATAGTGGAAATAGGGATAATCAATAATGAAACGTACAGATACACGATTAGTGCTCGATGGTTTCATATAAGCGAAACCTTATCATATGGACAATGGTATTATGAGATTTTCCTTATATGCAATCTTCTTACACTAATCATATATCTGTACGTTTAATTATTGATTGCGTCTACTGCCATTATGTAAATGACCGAGAGCGCAGCATTCAAGCACGCAACATGTTGACACGAGACATAATGAAAAAATATTCTGAATTCAGTATGAAATAATCTAAAATGTGTCTAAACCTGCAATCTTGACTTTTTCTGCATTATTTTCATATAGGGTGAAGGGGAAATGTGGATCGGTGGCTTAATCTCGATTGTGATAATTGTACTTCTCATTCAAGCATATGTCTTCAGCAGCAAATTTGTCAATCAGTACCCAGCTGAAAAAGTTGGTGATAGTAACTTTGCTTGTGACGTTACGTTGCGAAATGCTTTATTCCAAAGTATGCTACGATCACTTGCCGTCCCGCTATCTGATGAAGAGCAAAAAATGTTTGATTTACTCGACAATCAGCAGTGGACATTAAATGTTAATTTAATCAACACAGCTGTTATTTGTTCATCGATCTCTATCTACCAAATTTTCGGTACATCATCAAATGCAATTGCTATAACATCGTGTACGCTTGCCAATTCTATTGTAAAAATGACTATTGTCTTATTGTCTGATACGACTTCAATACAACTGATAATTAATGATATTAAACCAATTGGAGCCCTATCAGTGGGTGTGTGAGTGCTCCAGGAAATGAGAACGGAAGTTACACGCTCAGAGACCTCGGATTTAGTCAGGCATTTTACAGTAATAATCAAACACTGGCTCAAACAGTTCTCATTTCTCTTGCAGTCAGTAAAGTAAGATCAATATAAATTCTATTGATAAGTGTATATATTTTGCATTCCAATGACTTTTCTAAGACGGTCTTGAGAGTAGTTGTTGTGCTATCTAGCTGTCAAATCATAACTTCGATGCCAAAGATAACATGTGTATGATAAGAAAATAGTGCTGTACCGAGAACTCTATCGATGTTCAGTAAAAGTATGCAATCTTCTTAGAATATATATGGAATAAAACATGTTTTTTTGGAAAAAAGGCATGAATCTTGAGAAAATTGAATGAAATCTACGACACGAGAGATTTATTAAGAATTCGCGAGAATTTCACACGGTTATGTACCGAAACTTTTGCTCTACAAAATTTAAAACAGACTTATACAAAGATTCGTCCTATGATCCAACAAACAGAAGTTTTAAGGGTTCATATCATAGCCGAACCTTTTGATAAGTTGAATAGTTGCATTGATATGAATACCTTGTGAGAAAGCATTAATTACGCGTTTCTACAACCAAAACTACTTCAATTTGAGTATTTTTGATGATTACTGAAAAATTCAGCACTAGTTTGAGTTTCTAGTGTTTTTCTTTTTGATTTATGAGTGTTTTGATAGTTTCTTCGCTTATCGGTATAAGTTTACGAAGAAAACCGAATGGTAAAATTTTTGGCTGAAATTTCTTTCATGAATAGATTTTGTTGAATCTAAAGAGTTTTCTTACAGTTCTAGAGAGAAAATTTTCATACAAGTTTTCTAATTTTCAAACGCAATCACAAACAGATGTAACGTCTGTAAAATATAAATCTCTTGATGAAGATAACTTCTACCTGTCCTCTCACTCTGAGGATTCTTCAGCACACATGAGATCTATTCAGAGAGGAAATTTTAGTTCGAAATTCCATGATTCGATTTTATCCATAATATTAATATGTTCATCAGTGAAAAATCTAGTGAAATGCTTATAACTAACGAGAAAACATGAGAAACTTAAACCAAAACTGATTCGTTTGGATATTCGCCGATATCGATGGAATTGAAGAAGTTACTGCGAAAAAATAACTATATATAAATAAAAAATTTCCTTCTTAGTTTTTTTTACATCAATCAATGAAAATTCATCGCATTACTGACTTCTTTATCCAATTTTCACTGGCATATTAATAAGAGTTATTAAGAACATGTTATCATGTTCGAAAAAAAAATGACTGACACTCCAAAATAGGCTTTAAAAGAAATTGATGAATGAGAAAATGAATATACTTCTCGTACAAATTCTCGAGATTCTATCGATTTGCTGGTACAGTTAAGCCATTTCAGGACATATATTGAAATGTAATCTATAACCCTTTTGTAGTAAGTGAAGAGAACTTCCTTTGCCAAAACGTTGTAATAAACGATAAGAAAGAGTATTTCAATTAAAAGAAGTCAGTAATGGCATTCTTTCTGTTTTGAAATTAGTGTACCATCGTTCTCTCGATCCAATATCGGTCGAAGTCCTATGATAGATTTATAGTGTCGGCAGTAAGAAGACAGAAACCCTTTTATTTCCATTTTTGAAATCAGTTAATCACAAACAACATGTGTTCTTTCATTCATTTGTCAGAATAAAGTAATTTTATTAAATAGCGGATTTTTTTCGCAATAGATATGTTCTTGATAATATTTCTTATGAAAATAATTCTAGCGTTCGATTATCGCTTCATAAATAATTAAGTTTTACGAGACGACAAACACTTGATCAAGCGAAGTCTCAGAATGATTAGCTAAATAAGTAGATCAAACTACTTATGCATGATGTTCAGATTCTTTCATTTTATTCTCCGTTATACAACAGAAGTAAATGAATAGATGATTTAGTGAAATTGTGAATTATTCTAGATGATTACTTTATCCTTTTTTTTTCTCAAAATGTCTAACCAAATCCTGCAGAAGATTGTTAAACTAAAGAAACTTTTATACAAGTTTAACCATATTGGGTGAAAAATAATTCTCTTTAAAACTTGTCGAAAGAGTGTAGTTATTCATATGGAGTCGTCATTTTTAAATATTTCTCTGAAAGTTAAATTTTCATTTAAAAATGCGTATGCCAGACAATATGATCTAACCTAAATAAAGTGATTTATACCACATTTTTTGACAAAAATATTTCAGAATGAAACATAATAAAACATTTTTATCAGTAGATTAAAGCTTAATACAAGCATGACTTTTTCTAGGTCGTAAACAAGACAGAACCATTAAGTGGATCAGAAGCAGAGTTCGCGGGAAATTGGTATCCAGTATATACTGTGGACAAAAGTATAGCATTCGTCACGAGTGATGCATATGTGACCTCATTCAAGTTGACACAAACTACAGTGAGTATCGATATCACTGAAACGTCATACTATATCCGGAATGTACAAACGCCGCTTGTCAAAATACCCGACATGATTTTCAAAAATCTTTTATTCACCATCCTTTTATTGGAAATGTTCGGGTTGTGTTTTCTTGTTTTCAATCTTATGCTCATTCCTCTACTCAAATTCCTCCTATTACAAGACAAGCATTGGAGAACTAGATTATGTGGTAAAGATGAAGATAGCTCAGACGATGGTGATGATGTAGAGAGTCAACATCGAAAGCTGAGTGGACGTAAATCAGCAAAAGTATCTCCAGGTTCAGTTCATCCAAAGCAATTCGAAGAACTTGAAGAGCCACATGTGAGCTAATCAAGTAAAAAACCCAACGATTCACAAAGCAATCCGTCTACTATTGTAGTTTGGAGTTGAAAAGAACAATAGCAGATGGTTATCGATCACTGCGACTCTTGCAGCTTGCAATTGATGTGTCACCGTTTGATTTTTACATTTTAGTTTCACTGATTGTTATTTTATGATTGCTTTTCTCTCTCTATCATACCTGACTATCTGCAGCCGTCTCCGATGATCTTTGTCTCATTAATCGACATCTCGTTCATGAGTCAATAATTGTTGCATCATATATTATTTCACTGCATATGCTTTGATTTTCTTTATCATTAATATCACTATTTTCTTTTATGTATGTTCTTTGTTTCTGTTTCTGTTTTTCTCTCTTTCACTTTATATATAAGCGAATGCATAATAAAAAAATTGATAACTCTGCCACTGTAGCCTCTTGTCGTTGACAAAGTTCTTCTTTATGCATTTTCTAAAAGTAATCTTGACTTACATTACTGTTGAATCCTAAGTCTCAACCGACGATGATATCAATGCATGATTGCTACCTTTATTTAACACGTAGACTCTGTTTGACATATGAAACAAACTATCCACGAGATCAAACTGCAAATCGAAAATCAAATCATCACCCTTCACTATTAGCATCAGAACCTCTGGACACAAAATTCTGACAGCACGGAGTCTTTCAATATTAACCAAGTTGAACTAAAGCAAACCTTTTCGATATACATTGTACGACCTCTCTTCGGTTGCATGGTCATCATTCATCCATGGATCCACAAGAAATCAACATTTTTCCGATCTAATTTTCTCTAGGTCTCATAATCCATTTAGCTCCTTTACTCCTATTGATTTCATGTGTTATTATTAATTTTACACCTACTTGTCTCTTCGGTTCATGTTACGGTCAGAATGAAGTTCACTTTCGGAGTGATGGTCTGCATGCAGTTATTTTTCAAGTTCTAGCTGAATGCTAAACAGTGCTATGGAAAGACTGAAATCCTTAAATCGATTCAAAGGATTAAAGAGACTCGAGCGTATGAAGAAAGTTAGGGTGTGAGTGTCGATTTGCTCATCACAGGCACTCTATCACATCCACACCCACATTCATTTTTACTAAATCTAGAGTTGCCCGAGCAACTTATCAGCATAGTTCATTCCATTGACTGTCATTGGTCTCTAAGTGTGATCCGCTCAGAGGGGATCACTGGTTTGAAGGGGTAGTTAAAATTTCATTCATATAAGTGGAAAGTGAAAGCTCTCTCAAAACAATTCATAAACAGGAGTGTCATTAGCGGCAAGTTATTTCTAGGAGCGTATTTTTTTTTAAAATGTTCCACGTATAGATCCAGGCAGGCTTAAGAGGAGCTAAAGCTTGTCATAAAGTCTGAAACATCTCACTTTGCAAAAGCTGACTGACGAAAACGGTTTCTAGATTTTTTGTCATTTAGTCACTGGAAAAATTCACTGAAAAAATGAGCCGAAGAAAAACACTTTTGAAAGACAAACAAGGGTGAGGATGCCGCCTTGATCGAGTAGCATGTTTCTTTTTAATTTTATTCATTTCTTTTACACTGAAACTCAAGACGACAGTTGAGAATGCTGCGAGCCCCAAGAGAGTGTAAAAAACGTATAGTTCAGAGCATTTGGAAATAGTGTAATAAGAGTTTTAACTCCGAAAATGCTGACTTGAAACTATTCTATCAAGCTTCACTACAAAAGTTCTATTTTTTCTTGTGTTCAAAATGAAAGAAAAATTTGACGCTGTTTTCGCCGTTTTCATATGTTCAGGATTGAGCCCACCCTAGGCAGAAGTCTGGTTACGTCGTTACTA